TATATATATATATATATATATATATATATATAATGTATATATGCCGTATGTTCGTACGTTCTGTCTTCGTCTCCTTATCTGAGCAATAACTATTTCTGCTGCTGTTGCTGCTGCTGCTGCTGCTGTTGCTGTTGCTGTTGCTGCTGCAGCAAGTGTTTGATATATTAGAGAGTGCTATAGCTAGAGACAAACAAGACAAGACACAGGAGACAAGAAAGGGGGCCCCCCATGAGGGTACAGTTGGTCAGCAGCAGCAGCAAGAGCAGCAGCAAGGTGGGGGCCCCCCTGTTGGATCTCCTACAAGTGGAGAGTCAGGGGTATCATCATCATCACCTGCTGCTGCTGCTCCACCAGGAGCAGCAGCAGCAGCAGCAGCAGCAGCAGCAGCAGCAGCAGCAGCAGAGAAGGCCCGTCTGGATCCATTTATAAAAAAAGATGAGTTAATAATTAGAAGAGAAATAGAGATATTAAAATATGACATATGCTCCGTAAGAAGAGCCCCATTACCTGCTACACCTAAAGACCCGCAAACTTATTGTTAAATAAATGCATGCATGCATGCATGCATCCATCCATTAATGCATGCGTCTGTATGCATGCATTAATGCGTGTGTTTGCATGCATGCATCCATCCATCCATGCATCCATGCATATGTATGTGAGTGCATGCATGCATGCAACAGCGTGCATGCATGCATACCTGCGCATGCATGCATGCATGCGCATGCGTGCATGCAAGTGCCGGCTCCAATGTGTCGCCAGGCTTCCATCCGACCCATCACTCATGTATGCATGCAAGCACATTTATGCATGCATGCATATGCATGCATGCATTAATACATGCATCCATGCGCATGCATACATGTATTTGCCAGCCCCAATGTGTCTGTAGACTCTGCTTCGGTCTATGTGTCTCCTTTACTGCATTTGGGTGTATATACAGCTAATTCCTTATTTTTGTATTTATTTATTTATGCCTGTCTGCTGCTGCTGCTGCTGCTCTATGGCAGCCAAGCGCCAGCAGGGACAGCTGTTGTCTCCTTATGCATTGCTGCAGACCCTCTATGGGGCTGCATGCACCTACAGCTCCTTGCATGCATGCATGCATGCATGCATGCATGTCTGTTTAAGACATTATCTTGTCTTATGAAGAGAAGGAGACAGCACCGTTATTCTTAACTTATTTTGCGGCTGCAGCTGCTGCAGCAGACGCAGCAACTGCAGCACATGCTGTGCATGCATGCATGCATGCAATATTTTAAGTAAATAACTTCTATCCGCCCTATCAATGTTTATCTTTTTTCTTTTCTTATTAGGCAATAAAATAAAGTGTCCCTTTATTGTTTCCTGTCTCCTGCTTCCTAGTGTCTCCTTATACCCCTATAGGGAAGAGGGATTAAATGCGTTATATATGGTATAGATAACAGCAGCAACAGCAGCAACAGCAGCAGCAGCAGCAACAGCAGCAACAGCACAATTGGAAACAGTTGCACTGTTTAATAAGGAATAAGAGACAAGAAGAGACAATATGTCTTAGAGGCAGCAGCAAGGGGAAAAGGAGACAGTTGGGGACAGTAAACATAAAAGGAGGCACATAAAGGAGACAATATCTTTTTCTTATAGACGTGTCTCCTTTTCAGGTGTATAGGCAGCTTGTGGTGTATAGGGAGGTGTGTACTGTCTCCCCTTGCCTTATAAGGTGCCATTAATATAAATAAAAGGAGACATTTTTATTAACATAAGGAGACAGTTAGGAGACAGGAGCAGGCAGTATAAGGAGGCGGCAGCAGCAGCAGCAGCAGCAGCTGCTGCTGCTGCTGCTTCTGCTGCGAAGGAGAGACTACAGCAGAGAGGAGGGGAAAGAGAGTTAATGAGACACATAGAAGGAGAGAGAAAGAGAAGAAAAGAGGAAAAGGAGAGAGTTGCATGCAAAAGGAGACAGTTGTTGTCCCCTTAGGTAGACAAAAAGACAATAATAATTAATAAATGCATGCATAGTATAATAATTAATAAAGAAGATAAGAAGAAGAGACAGTAGCAAGAGGAGACACATAAAAAAGGAGACACATAAAAAAAGGAGACACCTAATAAGGAGACAATAAGGAGACAGTTAATTTATTTATGGTGTCTCCTTATAGACAGATAAATAAAAAGAAAAATAAATAAATAAAATAATAAATAAAAAGTATTTAGTTAAAAAAAAAGGAGACAAACGAAGAAAATATATAAAAGGAGACAGTTGTTGTCTCCTAACGGTGCTGCTGCTGCTGCCGATGGGCCGCAGCAGCAGCAGCAGCAGCAGCAGCAGCAGCGGCCTGCGTTGTTCCCTACTATAAAGCATTAAATTGTGGACCTTCTTTTATTTTTAGGGTTTAGTGTTTAGTGTTTCGTGTTTGGGGTTTAGGGTTTAGGGTTTAGGGTTTAGGGTTTATGCAAGACAGGAGGGGCCTCTGAAGGGCCCCCGGTGTCTCCACCGGCCTACTGTCTCTTTGTGTCTCCTTCTTCCTCTTTTGTCTATTTTTGTCTCCTTTTATGCATACATATCTTCTTTAGTTAATATATTATAAGGAAATACGGGTCTATTACCCCTTGCTGCTGTTGCTGCTGTTGCTGCTGCGGTGTGCATACACCACACAACAGCAGCAGCAGAGGATCGGGGTGCAGCTGTCTCTATACAGCAGCAGCGTGTGTCTCTTATAGCTGGGTTGTTGCTGCTGTTGCTGCTGCAGCAGCAACCTGTCGCCAAGGGTTTCCTAGGGGGGGCCCCTAGTACCTTATAAGAGAGGGGGGGCCCCCAGGGTCACCTAAGGGATGAGGGTACCGACCCCTAATAAGAAGAAGGGAAGAGATGCATGCATGATTAGGTATTTCTTCCCTTCATTGCAGCAGCTTCTTGCATGCAATCTGCTGCTGCTGTTGCTGTTGCTGCTGCAGCTGCTGCAGCAACCTGTACCTGTCTCCTCTGTCTCCTTAAGGGCCTCCATAAGGACACCACAAAGGAGACCCTATAAGAGAAGAGACTGGCTAGGGGAATTCTTATGGGCGCATGCAGAGGCAGAGGCAGCAGCAGCAGCAGCGGATGCAGCCCCTGACTTCCCAGGGTCCCCGTTGGAGGGGCCCCTTGATGCCCCTATGGGGCCCCCAGGGCAGCAGCAGCAGCAGCAGCAGCAGCTGCTGCTGCAGGCAACGTACCATAGGCTGCTACTGCCTCCGCAAGCAGTGCAGCGAGGGTTCAAGACTTTTGGTAGCTCGGTGTCTCCTATGCTTAAGCAGCCAGAGGTAGTAGTAGAAATATTTAGGGAAAGAGACAAAATGGAGACAGCAGTAGGGGAGACACTTGCTGCTGCTGCTGCTGCTGCAGCAGCAGCAGCAGCAGCAGAAGCTGACGGATCACCACCAGATTCACCTATTACTGGATCTCCTCCAATGTCTCCTACTGCAACTACAGCCCCAGGATCAGAAGAAGAAGATGAAGAAGGACAGCAGCAGCAGCAGCAGCAGCAGCAGCAGCAACAGCAACAGCAGCAGCAGCAGGAAGAAGAAGAAGACAAAGGACTTAAACCAAGGAAGGCATTGTCATCACACACAAAAATATCTACAGATAGACGCATAACTGATTTGTGGGCACCGGAGACATTTGATCTCCTTAGTACAGGTAAATATATTATATAAATTTACTATCTGCTGCTGCTGCTGCTGCTGCTGCTGCTGCTGTGAGCATCGACAGCTGCTGATGCTGCTCCTGATGATGATGATGGTGATGTTGCTCTTTTAATTGTGTCTCTGTGGAGACAAACACGCAACACACGATTCAGTGCCTACATACATAAAAAATAAGGGTTTAGGGTTTAGGGTTTAGGGTTTAGGGTTTATGTTTTTTTTTGGGTTATACGAGGGGTCATTAAGCTCCTCGTTTTAATCATTTATCATGATTAATTTTAGTATTCATGATTTCGTATTTCATTTTTAGGGTTTAGGGTTTAGGGTTTAGGGTTTAGGGTTTAGGGTTTAGGGTTTAGGGTTTAGGATTTTTTTTGTATAGGTTATACAAGAGGCCATTTAGCTCCTCGTTCTTCGCATTTGTCTGATTCAAGTATTGATACAATGCCAACAAATATTTCTCCACAAGATCAAAGACTAAATAGTTTTCATTGGTAAACAACAAAGTGTCTCCTTTTCTTACTGTGTCTCTTTTTGTCTCCCTTTCTTACTGTATCTCCTTTTGTATCCTTTTCTTACTGTGTCTCCTTTTGTCTCCCTTTTCTTACTGTATCTCCTTTTGTATCCTTTTCTTACTGTATCTCCTTTTGTATCCTTTTCTTACTGTGTCTCCTTTAGTCTCCTTTTATTACTGTCTCCTTTTCTTATTGTCTCCTTTTCTTACTGTGTCTCCTTTTGTCTCCTTTTATTACTGTCTCCTTTTTTAAGTGTCTCCTTTTCTTACTGTCTCCTTTTCTTACTGTCTCCTTTTCTTACTGTCTCCTTTTTATTGTGTCTCCTTTTCTTACTGTCTCCTTTTTATTGTGTCTCCTTTTCTTACTGTCTCCTTTTCTTACTGTCTCCCTTTTTAAGTGTCTCCTTCTGTCTCCTTTTTTATTGTCTCCTTTTTTATTGCGTCTCCTTTTGTCTCCTTTTATTACTGTCTCTCTTTTGATTGTCTCCTTCTTCTATCCTTTTGTCTCCTTTTTCCTGTCTCCTTTTTTCTGTCTCCTTTTGCCTGTCTCCTCCTGTCTCTTGCTGTTTCCTCTGTTGCTGTTGTAGCATTGGATATTATTGCTGCTGCTGCTACTGCTGCTGCTGCTGCTGCTGCTGCTGCAGCTCCTGCTGCTCCTATGGCTCATGAAAAATTGCAGTTTTCGTTGTTCTTGCTGCTGCTGCCTCCTCTCCACCTCCTCCACCTGATGCTGCTGCTGTTGCTGCTGTTGCTGCTGTTGCTGCTGTTGCTGCTGCTGCAGGAATCAGGTGGAGCAAGTAGCAGACACAGTACAGACATACTTTGAGGACACAATAGTATATACTGGTCCCTTATGGCTACCTACAGATATCTCCTCTTCTTTGCCTCTTACCTATGGAGACACTTTGTCTGATCAAGCTATACTAGCAGGAGAGCGTAGAAAAGTATATGCATGCATAAGGTAAGTGTCTCCTTTTTTTTTTTTTAACTGTCTCCTTTTTTTACTGTCTCCTTTTTTTTTTATTGTCTCCCTTTTTCTTTTACTGTCTCCTTTTTTTAGTGTCTCCTTTTCTTGTTTTATTGTCTCCTTTTTTTTAGTGTCTCCTTTTTTATTGTACTGTCCCCTCCTTTTGTTTTGCTGTCTCCTTACCTACTGTCTCCTATTGTCTCCTCTTTTGTTGTCTCCTGTTGTCTCCTTCCCTTTGCCTAATAAATTTATGTCTCTCCCTATACACAAACATAAACTCCATAGCCCTATATACATATATATATATATATT